CGTTGTGACTGTTCTGCCAATTCATCCCGAAGAAGATCGCGTACTTAAGTCTTAAAATATGTAAGGCGATTTGTGGACATCCTGATTTCGGTAGGATTTCCAGAGAAGAACAGACTGTACATAGGAAAGGAATTGATGAATTTGGAGATTTGAGGAGGCATAGAAGACGCATATTGTTTGTTGTTTAAAGATTTCGGTCGTGAATGGAGAAGAAGAAACGTAGTTTGGTTCGAAGTGTTTAGGTAACAATGGAGAGTTAAGGAAAGAAACTGGGAACGTAAAGTAGACACATGGTCGTACTTGCGAAGAGGAAAAACGTATCGAATGTAGTTATTGAGGAGGCGATCTACTTTAGTGAGAAGGTCTGCATTCAGATTAAATAACACACATCACCATAGTCGATTAGGATTTAAGGACTCCATAAGCGTAGTCTTAGTTTTATCGGACAGGAAAGTCTTAAGACGATATAAACCACGGAGACATGTGGCGCCAATTAAGTATAGAATCGATATGTCCCCCGGGTTCTCTACTACTGCACTTAGTGCTATAGTCACGTCGTCATGACAAACGGTAATAAAGGCAATAGAAAAATCGATTAAAGCTAGCACTGTGATTGTGACAATTTTTACCGCAAAACTTTTAGACTGCCGTTACTCATATAAGAAGCAATATAATTTCATGAAAAATGCAATCAATCAAAAACCTTGGAAAAATCACGAAAGATACCGACGGTGTCGTGGTCGTCTTTTGCGCGTCAAAGACATGTCTTAGAAGCTCAACACTGGAATCAGTTGCAGAACGCTCTTTTGTGAAATCGTGTTGCTCATTATGTAACAAATTACGGCAATAATATTTATTTTAAACTTTATGCACTTTTGTACACTTGTACAGTACAGGTGGACTTAATAACCAGGGCATTCTCTTCCAGTCCACCATTGGGTGGTGTAGAATTCTTGTAAGGTAGGTGAACAGAGGTAGGTAGGTGAAGTAGTAGGCTAAAACCTCCTTTCTAAGGAGAGGCCTATGTCCAGCAGTGGACTATTTAAGCTGTTGATGATGATGAGGTGAACGGATTTTACATATTACATAATCAATGAATTCAATATTAAATAATAACTTTACACATCTCACACATGGCCGTCAGATCCAAAATGAGCCATGGAAGTATGTATTTACAAAAAAAAAAGTAAATATTATGTATTTATATCAGTTGTCTAGTACACATAGTACAAGCTCTGCTTAGTTTGGGACTAGATGGCGTTGTGTGCAAGTGGTTTTTGGTTGGTTGATAGTACTAAAAGTAGTATTAAAAGTAGTCTTGGTGGTTGAGTCTGAAGCACTACCAGATTTCAATAATAAAATAATTTAACTGGATTTAAATTTATCAGGAAATATACCCTAGGAGGTATCCCTAACCATACTTTATTTTAAGCAATTGCTTTAAGCAATATGCTTTTTATAATAAAAATATAATAAAAAAATAACTAGATTTTTTGTTCAAAATATTTTGCATAAGTTACCTTATCTGCATTATACTAATTTAAAAAAAAAACTGTTGGTGATAAACGCAAACAAGTTTTGTAGTTGATTTTAAAAACTGGTTCTAGGCGGTCAAATGAAATTATGATTTGATTATATAACCTTTGTTCAGTATGCGTTGCAATGTTGTTTTTTTTTATTTCTAAACATGAACAAACATATAAAAAATGGGTATAAATATTATATTTAGCCAGGTACGTTGTCAAAAGATAAACAAGTCTTTTCGAGGTCAATGTGTCCAATTTTATAATAAAATCCCAAATAATATTCAAGAGTTAGGTATTAACAAATTTAAATCCGCAATAAAACGTGGCTTGTGCCAGAGGGCCTACTATTCAATAGTGGATTATATGGTAGACAAGAATGCTTGGGATTAATTAGCGCAGGCTATTTCTTTCTAAATAAAAATGTGATGTGGCTAGTGTGTTTATTATTATTATTATTTTATCATTTTTTTATGTTTCATTTCATTTTCTCTTTTATTCGTTTTTTTTCTTAATCTTGTTTTCTCTTCGTTGTCTTTTTACCTTTTAGTCCTTAATAACGGACAGGTATCAGAAACGGTCAACCACCTCTAACCACTTGCCATTAAGCGTTTTTAGTACCTAGTAATACTAGTTTTGTTTTTAAATTTCACAATGAAGCAATTGATTAAGAATACAGCCATCAGTAGTTTGTAAAATCAGAAATAGGAATTTATACAAAAACGTCAAAATAATATTGTGTTTTTTTAAATATTTTTTTTTAATCATTAAAAAATACGTTTAATCAGTCGATATTGTAAAAAAGCTTCAGAGCATGTGGTTAAAGTGAGTAGGGTTTCTTCCCATTGTCTATGAGGAACAGAATAGCTTCCCTGATCCATTTATCGTTCAAAAATTCAAAAGAATTTCCTTCTCCTGAAATCTTCCTGAGAGACAATTTCTTTTATGGATCTCAATCTATAGGTTTATTTGTATAATGTTATTTTTATAATGTTGTAATATCAAACTACAGACGTTGCTTGAACTTAGCAAGGTTAAATAATTAGTAGTCGTTTTAGTTCTATAAACCGAGTTTTACTAAGGCAAGCTTTTTTTAAATAATTAAAACTTAAAAGTTAGTAAAAGATTTTTATCTGAAGGTACGCAGTACCAGTCAAACTTTAAATCTTTTTTCTTTATTTACGAAACAGAATAAAAGTAAAATAAAACAAGGCAAACCTTGGAAAAAGAATTATATCAATGAAGATTTATGTAATCATTTTGTTTAATTACCGGGTAAAATTGTAGGTTAAGATCTAATCAAACAAACTTGCTGTACCCTGCCACGATTCGTAGGAGCACATTAAAATTGCATTGATGAGTATTGAGGAACACAATTGACTCGAAAAATGTTTAAAACAATACTTGAAGCGGTTTGTTTATCGTGTCAAAATTTCAGCTCAATCGGTGCAAAAAAATTGTGTTTTTGAAGCGTACACAAATCTAGTTAAATTTTTAATATATTTAGATAAGTTTCCGGCGAAATTCAGTAAATCTTGAGGGACACAACAAAAAATCACCCTGTTATAGTTATATTAACCAGGAAACCTACAAGTTACTTCAGGTTTAGCGACAATCATTTTTTAACGAAAATACAGATATGTTGGACACACAACTTTACGCATTAAATCCTAGACCTATCTAAATCTAATTTTCAGATTATTGCAAGTTTATCTTTTAATTTTTGCAGTGTTGCAAACGAAAGACAAAACTTGTGAAATAAATATTGACCATTTAAATGTGAGGTATTCGTATAAAGAAACTATTCATATTCACACGTCATTGGATAAATTTCCCATTTTAGTAAAAATATGATAATGATTTCCTAAAAGTAATTAAATATTTTCCTCGTTTTGTCATCAAATTACCTCAAGTTTTTTTAATCATAATAATAATATATACTTTTCCGTACCTGACCTGTACCTGTACAACGAAGACAGCTTATGTTATAAACGGTTATACTAAACGTTAATTACACGATGGGCTAGTACTGACATACACCCGTCGACACACACGACGATCCCGTTAATGTATTTACATTATGTGTATGCATGTCGTGGAACGCGAAAATTTAAAAGCTTTTTTTTATCTTACCGTTCGTTGACGACTTGGTATTGTTTGTGTCAGTTTCATGTATGTTTGTAAAATCCCCTGCGACACAGGATTTAGTCTGGGAGTTGACTTATGTTGCATCTGCATTTATTGTACAATGCAAACGAACAATTTGCAAACCGTTTAGATATTTGATATACATATATTCAGTTTCATAAAAATAAACTATGACAGTATTCAGTAAAAACATTATATTACCGTGAATATTGTACTATCATTTGGAATTTAAAACATGACATTTTGCGTAAGATGGCTGGCAGGAGCTGGATGCGAGAAGCTAAAAATCTTCTGAAGCTGAGAGGCCTATGTCCAGCAGTGGACTGCGATAGGCTAATGATGATGATAATGGGAGTTGTTTTTTTTTTTAAAGATAAAAGGAAATTACCATTTTAACGCAGTTCATCTGCCCGATATCTACCTACCAACATCACATCTTGCCAGGTAACCTCACATAAATTAGTAATCTAAATCCGATTTATCGGAACACTCTTTAATTTTCGAATCTCGATACTGCCCTGACCCTTGATCTCGATGGATTCATGAATCTTATTTCTTTCAGCAGTTTTTTTTTCAGCTTGGAGTTCGTGACATCATCATAAAACTGACCGTATCATTGAGTTTATTTATATGGAGGTAGATGACAACATGTGGTTTAAGTTTAACCGGTTCTGTAAGGTTCACGAGGAGGAAAACTGGACGCGGGAATTCACTTATACCTGGTCCTGTAAATTCTTAGTTCACTAGTGTTGGAACATAGTCGATAATACAGGAGACATATTATCTTCTCCGCTCTGCATAAGCAACTCACAAACTTGATCAGGTCACATTATCCATTTAAAATGATATTTGACAGTTTTTATTTAAGTAGTCAAACTCTTTTAAAGATTTATGTCTTTCAAAGAATTTCGAATATACTGTTGAATCTCCTATAAAAAGGGTCACATAAAACATAGGGTAAACCTCTATCTATTGTATTCAATCTATTTCTACAATTTTTAACCCAACACTTTTTAAAAGTAATTACAAACGTCTTGCATATTATCGAATGTCTGAAATGCTGCATGAAATTTTAAAAAATTTCGCATCAATATGTAATGAGAGTCTCGTGAAACTACTAATAAAAATATGTATGTATAGATAGTTATAAGTAAAATCAACCGGGAAAATGATATCGTTAATGTTGTCACACTTCACTAAGTGTACGAGATGCGCAACACTTTATAAACAAAATCGGAGTCTGCGGTGGACACACTGGGCAGTGACGCGTAGCCGGTCGAACGTTTTATGTGACATTATAATTTACAATATAAATATAATACTTAAAAAATGAACAAGCTGTTTGTATTATTCGTAATCGGTAAGTTGTTTTTGTTGAATATTTTTTTGGGTTTGTTTATTTGTCGCTTCAAGTTTAATTACCATATGACATGAGAGGATTTTTTGTTTAAAGTGTTCGTGTGTACTGTTTTTGCTTAAAATAGATTATTTTATAAAAATACCTTTAATAAGTAGGAATTAGTATTGTTTTATATAACTTAACGTTAAAAGTGTTTTTAAGTTTTTATAGTGTTTTTAATTTAAAATGTAGTTGTTTCAATATAGAACTTCATTCTTAAAATTTAAAGTGTCTAGTGACCAAAATTGCCTTTTTTTATTTATTTAAAGTGATGTTATAAAAGTGCATGTATTTGTTATCGTGTTACGTTTAGTTAACAGCTACTTGTGAAGAGGATCTAGTTATTATTAAAATTAAATTACTATGTAGACAAAAGCAGTGTTACATGCGTAACTGGTTTCCCAGAAGTAGGTACCTAGGTACCGGTTGGAAATTTGATGTAAAATCATGTTTTAAATTCCAAATGATTAGTACAATATACACGGTATACAATAGAATGTTTTTACTAAATGTCATAGTTTATGAAACTGAAAATATATCAAATATCTAAACGGTCTGCAGGATGTTGGTTTGTATTATATTCACCTTGCTATATGCTTCTAATATAAAGATTTAGATAACATTCTTGCATAAAATCAACATTTTAATACAAATCTACCTCGCGTTGCGACACATATTTTACCCTCAACGTCTTTAAGAAATAATAAACGTAAAATACCGAATCTTGAAGGCTAAGAGAATATAAAGTGATGAATTGATGATCCTATTCTAATTAGAACTTGAATAAATTATGTGTTCAGTTTAAAATTTAACTATTAAAATAAAATTGTGTCAAAAATAACTCGCTGCTATAGTGTCTATACAAATATACTTATATGTTATGGTGGTACGTACGTAAACAAAAGACTCCTGCAATCTGAAGGCACAGCGTAGAATTGTTTCTTTTCCCGCTGTTGAATGAGATCTTCTGAACTACAAAGTTAGGCGGGGGGCTAGCCATCGATACGGGATTTTAGGTGGCAGCAGATTGTGGTGTTTACAGGCATTGTTAATCAGTTTAACTCAGAGGAAACTTTTTTTTATGTTTTACTTTTACATATAAAAAATATCATAGAATGTATCATATAATATTTAAGCAAAACTGCCTACAAAAATTGGCACAGATGAGTGTTATACCCAAAAATATGTCTCAGCTATTTTTATGATGATTCTTTCTACATCAGTCGTTCACGAAGAATCGGAAAATAATTGTTTGATGTGCCTATTGATCTAGTGGTAAGTTAGAGCTCGTGGGTTCGTTTTCTATTTAAGACAAATAATTGTGTGAAAAGCACGATTATTTGTTCTGTGTCTGGCTGAAATTTTTGCAACATTATTGCAGCTATATACCTAATATTCAACTAATTAATAAACCCTAATCTAATATAATATAATAATTGAATTCTTTCTATTTTCAGCTCTCTTCACAAATGGCGCATTTGCGCAACAAGAAGAAAATAAAAATAACACCGGCAATTTAGACGACAGGTACGGCTTTGACGGACCATCAGGGTTCCCGGGTAATTGGAATCAGAATCAATTTCCTGGTCAAAATCAATTCCCCAAACAGAACCAGTTTCCCGGTCAAAATCAATTCCCTGGACAGAACCAGTTTCCTGGTCAGAATCCATTCCCGGGCCAGAATCAGTTACCAGGACAGAATCAGTTTCCTGGTCAGAATCCATTCCCGGGCCAGAATCAGTTACCAGGCCAGAATCAGTTTCCTGGTCAGAATCAATTTCCGGGACAAAACCAGCTCCCTGGACAACAACCTACAAATACTACCCCAACTGGTGGAAGGTAAGATCATTGCTATAATGTTAACTACGAGTAGCTGTTGTTTCTTAATTTATGATAGAAGTTTAAAAATGTATTTAATAAATAAATATAATTAAATTTATTTATTTATCAACAACATTTGCACTCATCTTTCCTTCGTCGTAAGCAAATCCTGTGGAACCGCTTATTGTTTAATTTTTATTTAAAATTTTACCTTTTATTTTAACATTCAAGTCACGACTATACATAATTCTGTCATTTTTGATGGGTGTTATCCATGTGTGTTAAGTAAGATGCGTCGATGTCTATAACGATTTTAATATGATTTTCAATTCCAAATATGTCTCCAGTGAAACAATGTGTTTGTATTTACTATGTGTTAATTTATTTATTTTTGATTTTATTTTATATTTAAACCGTTTTTCGAAAACAATACTGACTAATAAACAAATATATTTTTTTGTACAATTCCAGTTCAGCCACTACAACTATGTCTCCTGAGGTCCAGCAGTGCATAGCCAGCTGTCCAGGAACACCAGAATACAACCCAGTCTGCGGTACCAACAACCAAACATATGATAACGCCGGAAAACTTGCGTGCGCTCAATACTGTGGCGTTAGTGAGTATCACGAATTTATTTTGTCGTATTTAGGCGTATTATACCTACTGTTTTTTTATTTTTTATCAGTTTTTACAGTTTTTTTTTATCATTTAATTTTTATTTTTTATTTTTTTCTGATTCTTTTATTAAACATGACTGACGTACTCGCGGGGGACTTTACAAATATATTAATGAAACTGAAACAAAGAGTACCTAGACTCAGAACAACGATTTGTGGATCACACAAAGTGTTGTCCCATGTAATGGTCGTCCTCTTGACACTCAGCGCAGTAGAAAAATTGCGAGGGGACCGCTTAAAATACTACGGCATCCATGCTTTAGTGATTTAGTACTCCTAATCGATGGATAGTAAAAATATAATAAAATCTTTAGGCTGTCTAAAGCAAGAACTTTTTGATCTACAAACATGTTGATCTGGAGTGTAGGGAAATACTTTAGTATTATAGTATTGTATTGATTCGGATCCAGTAAAAAATATTGAATTGAATAGATTTTCGCTAACAGTTCAGAAATATGTTTTTCCTATTTATGGAATTCACCACAGTATCCATTAAGTAAGTTTCAAGCAGTTTGCAACTTTCGTCACCTCTGAAAATTCTCATAACCATGCAACACTTTTTTTCGCTGCTCCTATGTTAAAGCAAGAAAAAATATCTCACAGTGCAATATATACATTGTATATTTTACATTATGTTTGCTAATCTCGACTAAGGTAGGAAACTACGCAGGACCACAGCACGAGAAGGAAACAAACCCTATTCCGACCTGTCCGGCCAGCGTGGTATAGTAGGCTAAAACCTCCTTTCTAAGGAGTGTTGATGATGTTCGCTTATCTCAACTTCTTACAACTTTCCTTATTTAATGTTAATTAATGTTTCTTTGCCACACATTACTGTTATAGGACCTTGAATATTGAGAATTATATATAATTTACTGCTATTTAATGTTTATTGGGTTTTCCAATAAGATAATTTGTCCTTATAGAATAGATAATTTAATGTTGCTTAACCATTAGATTAAGTTATTACTGGTACAAGTTAATTTATAAACAACTTTTTGTTCTTGTAAATAGAATTTATAGTACATTCCCTTTATTTGTTACCTAGTAGTTTAGATATCCAGTGAAATCACTGGATATCTTACTTGTACTTAATGTCTTGTATTAAGAACTTCACTCTTTATCTCTATTCGATCTATTCCGTGAGGAGCCTGGTTGTAGCTAGTGGTTAGCGATCCTCACTGCTAAGCCTGAGATTCCCGGTAAGGATAAATATTGTGAGATGAGCACTATCATTTGTTCTGTGTCTAGGTGTAATCTATTTATAATATTTTATGTTTTTAAAAATATGTAGGTATGTTTATCTGCAGTCTGGTGACCATACCAGACTAGGCAGAGCCTGTACGGCTATGCGCCCCCTGCAGGTTCAGACGGCCGTTTGTGAGATGTGGTATTATCATTAATAATATTTCATTATTATCCTTTAATTAAAAAATAGTAGTTTAAGATGTTTTCTTGAACTCGAAATTTATATAAAATAACTTATGAACATTTATTTTAATTAGTCAATGGTATAATTGATATAATATATTTTTATAAGTCACCTCTCTTGTATTACCACAAACTTTACTTCATATAAATATTTCGTGATTATCCTTCGGCTCTTATGCCAAACTTATTTAGGGTTTGCATAATATGTAACATAGTATAGGGTTTTGACTGGTTTCTTATATGGTCAACCGCTTTCTAGATGCCAACCCTGCAAATAGTAATAGTTTTTAGATCGGACGAAGGAAGAATGGGAGGAAAATTCGGGATAGAAAAACGGTTTGGTTAAATGGGCTGGCTCGATCGAACTGATAATATGATGTCACAGAAAACCAGTTAAGCAATTTTGTTGTTACTTTTCACATAAAGAGTGAGGTAACCGGAGAAAGAACAACCCCTCCCACTAAATCTGGGGCGAAGGGGGCTCAAAAGGCGGTAACGTACTCGTGACACTTAAGTCGTTGGCTTCAATGGGTGGCGACAGTCACTTACCATCAGAGGACCCGTCCCCTATATTGTAAAAAGGAAAATCACTAGTCTTAAACAGGGAAGCGGCGCCAGACTGCAGTAGGAACACAACCCGGGCTGGGTTGCATTCCTGAATAATCCATCTGTACCGTGTTCATTTAAAGTGTGTAAAATTTAATGATCAGTTGATCAGTTTTGCATAGGTTTGTTTCTTTAAAGTTTATTATGACTAATGAGCAAAAAATACATATACTCTATTTAATCATAACAAAAAATCGTCGTTTGATAATGAAAATCAAATACTCGAACTGAGGCCACTGCGAAGCACTTTTGATTAAGCGTGGCGCGTCTAAGATTACGACTTTTTGGATGAAACGTAAAACCAATATTACTCGTATAATCGAGTCTTTTGCCTGCATTTTCTAATGAGATTTTAGTTTAAATCACGCTATATATACAATGTATGGGCTCTTGATGTCAGTTCACAATTGAATATGTTTTCTGTGTTTGTTTACATGTTATTGTATATAGTATTTTGTACAAGCATAAAGGATAACTTAAAATTAAGGCCATAGGTTCTTAGATGGTTGTCATACGGATTATTCAATTATAATAAGTCAGTTAAAATAGCTCATTATGATATTTTACAGTTATTTTTTCTTAATTTCAGATGTGTCTTTACTGAGGACGTCTCGCTGTCCAGCGCCAGTGGTACAATGAACAATTAGTTAATAATATTTAGTTACCTAATAAATTATTATAATATATACTTTCTTGTTGTATATTAATTGTCAAATAGATAGATCAATATATTTTATTGCACACTAAACATTACAACAGCAGTCAGTAGAATACACTAAACTGGTAGTGTCACAATGATCAATAGGCTTACTTTTTTTAAATATTCTCCTCTAGACAATATTTGGGTAGATTTTGCAGATGTACACTTTTGCAGATGATTTATAAATATGAATAAATATAGAAAGAGATATTTTAAAAGAGGGATTAGCCCTTGAATGAAAGGTAAATCACTCTTCTCTAGTACTCAAACGCTTTCATCCTATTCATTTCTTATATTTTAATATCTTTCTTTTTTCGTTCTACTTGAGATACTTCATTTGTTGTATTTGGCATGAGAACACTCACAGGTATAAACTCTTTCATTTCAAATTTCGGGAAAATATTTTTTTGATATTTTTTACATGTTAAATTGAATTGGATGCTCACGCGCAGTATTTCAGATGAAATCATCATTTTATTTGGTACCACAGCTGCAATAAAAAATTTAAAGGGCTTTCTCTAAAATAACAGAATGTTTAATTAACAATAGAATTCTTGGCAATGTACAAATAGAAAAAATATAGTATTTTTACTCACGGGGGAGATCACTGTTGCATGTACAGCATTCGAATGAAACAAGTAAAATCCTTTAAAAAAGTTGAAACGACTTCAAACAATACTAACAATGAGCACTAAAAACCTAGCAGCAATCGCGGTTGATTTTCTGTATTTTTTTGAAGAGTTCCGTTGTCTGTCTTCGAAACTCATCATCGGATCTACATGAAATTTAAATGACCGTTTCGGAATAAACCCCTTTCGAACAAAAAATAATAAAAAAATAATTATATGAATATAAACATCCGAATTGATAACCTCCTCCTTTTTGAAGTCGTTTAATAATAGAATGAGGGCAGTTTATTATTCAAAATACACATTTTTATTTACACAGCCAATAACTTACATGTACAAATAAAAATATATCAAGGAAAAGATATAAATCATGTTTAATATTTTCTATTTAAAATATAACACAAACAATATTGTTCATTGAATGCCTTATTTAGACTCTAAGATTGCATTTATTATACGAGTACGAGTACAATTTTGGAAAATGTTTACAAGTAAACGTTACTTTGTACGATCTTTGAGATTTACTTAATTAAGATACACTAAAGTATATTCTACAGACAACAAGCATTGTTGTTTGAAGAAGTAGCTATTTAATACAAAGAATTTATGTCATTATAGATATGGGACTGGATAAATAAATTGTTCCTGGCATTACTGCTAAACTGATGACTATATGTTCTGAAGCCACTGACAAAAAGGAACTTAGTACATTCGGCATAATATTGTAGATTTGACTTTTACAAATTAGTCTTAAAGTCCAATTTTCATATCGAACAGGATGTTAGATCATGTTATTATTTTACCTTTTGATTCGCTTTGAATGTCGAACGACTTCATCGAAATTACCTACAGTATTTTGACTGTGACTGTTTGCGAGATCAACAAACTGGCTGGGTCACGACCTCTCGTAGGTTTTTACTGTGTAACACATAACAAATACTTTTAGCTGATTGGATCCAAGTGATCCGAGGGCCGCATGTAGTATCATACTTCTTAGGCGCCTATACAAGTGCTATTGTTTAATATTAACTTATGAACTAAAAATCACATCTAATGTCCATATATTTAAAAAAATAAAGACAATCGTACCTATATATATTTTTAGAAAAGCTTTGATTCGATTACCTCTATTTAAGTGCTCTGTTACGCAAGTATTACAAAACTGAATACAAGTCTCGTTCTGTCTTAAGAGTAAGGACTGTATATTGTAATAACAAGTGTTACATGTGCGCGCTTGGACTATTATATACATACAATTTTAACAATTTAAAGATATTTTCCTCATTCCTGTCACTATTGACTGCTTCTCCTTTAACGACTTATCTTCAGCACCGTATTGTTAGAATGATGATAAAATAATTATGTACATTTTGGTTTGAAGGTCGCAAGGTCAATCAATGACGGAATACCCGAAGGTTAATCATAAACAATGCCAAAAACTAACTTTGTAGTTGTGCTTTATTTTGGATAAGACATTATGAATCACATGTTAATATTGTTTAAATACCTAACAAAAGAAACAAGTAAGTTGATGCGTTCTGAGAACCTTAAAAACTTTAAACAAGGAAAAAACTTACGTCACTAATCTTTTTACCGAAATATGTCGTACCTTCGATAGTCATAAGCATAAATGATAGAAAATAAAAACTCAGTCATTAAAACCAAAGGGATTTAAAATGCGCGTTTGTAAACAGGAACAAACACTTCAATTAAGTTCAACTTAATACAGTCGAGGGCTATACTGCAAGGATAATATAAGCCTAACGACACGATATTCAAATTGAAAAAATAAATAAAATTCCTCTCCTGTAAAATTAGAAATCATGCAATTTTGCCACGGTCTTGCCGAAGGCGCTATATTTATTTATTTATTATTTAATTAGCCCGTTAAACTGGGTGTGCTTAATCTTTGACTGTATTGATTCGTTTGGCTATAGGATGTCTCTCAACTCAGTGTGCCTTTTGGTAAAGATCTCTTCCAGTAGTTTCCATTGCTTCCTGTCATGAGCAACTCTCCTCCATTTGGGTCCCGAAGTAAGTTTCAGCTCATCTTCCCAGCGCATTTGTTATCGTCCTCGAAGGCGCTATATTGTTACAGATTATTTTTTTATGTAAATAAATTAATCAAACCAATAATCAATATCTTTGTCAGCAGAAAAGGAGTCAAGTGGTTATCCACATGTTTTTGTTGGAACAGATGTTAAGCCCTCATACCTCATGAGCATAAAATATCTAATGATAATAAAAATAATAAAATAACCTCACACATCTCACACACGGCCGTCTGATCCCAAACTAGGCAGAGCCTGTGCTATGGTAACCAGACTGCTGATAAATATACTTATATTCCTAAATACATACATGTTATAGATAAATTATCTAAATTAAAGATTTTCGTTAAGCATATAAATTGTGGGTTAATTTGTGTCTTACCAGTGCAAATATGTCAAGCGGTAATTTCATAATATACTCACGTGACACTGTCGCGTGATTTTTTTTTTTATGAATATGTAAGTAGGTATGCCCCATCAGGTGTCTGGGGACCAAAGTACAGGCTCTGCCTAGTTTTTGATCAGATGGCCGTTTGTAAGCTATTTTAGGTCACTATTACAAATACCTTACTAGGCAATCCTTAAGAATGACATCATTTCCTGGCAAAATCTTATGTCTTGTTAGTATAAAAAATCTTTAATAAAACTACTCTTACAGCATCATTTAAATCTCGCACCACGGTATTGATCTGGACAATATTCCCCATTGATGAGGATTCCTTTCAACAAAATAATAAAACTGGTCCTCTATTAACCGAATCGAATTATTGTTATAGGACATAAAAAGGTTTGCCTTGAGCAGTTTTTAATCAGCAGGTTAGATACAATGATTATTTGTAAACTTGTAAAAGTGACTGTGGAGTTATTAGGAAATAACCTCTATACTACATAGAACCGAGTTTGCATATATGCAGACTATAAGGACAGCCTATTTTTTTTAAGACAAAACCAGCCTCTAGTATAAGCCTACTTATTTGCTAAGTTCGTTATACAGAAAACAAGTACAGTAAAAAAATAAGCTACCTGAACTTAATAATTTGCTATCCTCGTACTTTAGCAGCTAATACCCTCTAGTACCAGACTATTATTTGAAAACCTGACTGTCTTGCCATAGTCAGATTTATTTTGAATTGTTCTAACACTGTCCCATCTTCATTTATTGTTTTCAGATCCCTTATAAGATCACTTGCTTGTCCGTCTGTCTGTCTGTCCATCTGTCCGTGTGTCACCACCGTTCTCAGGAACGGGTAGACCTAGCAAGTTGAAATTTACACCAGATACTGAAGTCTATGGTCCATTTTAGGTGTATAAAAATCAAGGTCTTGAGTGAACATGATAAAAAGATATGGTCAAATTTCGATTTTCGCGAAAACTACCTTAACTTTTTTATTTTTCTGAATTTTCTCTTTACTTGTGCTGTAAGACCTTGCTTTTAACAAAAATTGACAATTCTAGGTCAACCGGAAGTAGCCTATAGATTTTGGGTCGAAAACCTATATGGTAGTTCGCGTTGACCTAGAATCACGAAATTTGGCATAAAGATACGTCTTACAGCACAAATAAAGTAATAATTCCATAAAAAGAAGAAAAGTTGAAAATTAAGATAAATTCGGTACTTACAAATTTTCACGAAAAATCTATAAAATCTGGGTAGGTACGGAACCCTCGGCACACGAGTTCGACTCGTACCAGACCGGTTTTTTAAGTTCACAGAACCTAGGACTAGTATCATATTTAACAGAAGAGTACCTAGTATACATTCTTTGCAAAAAGGACAAAGTTTTTATTTTCTAAAAGTATTGTATCATTAAACTCTCCTTACTTGTTTAAAACCAAAACAAAAACGACTAACATCAATGTGGAACTGGTGTGTCTAGTTGTTTTATGAACCTGTTGAGTACACATACGCAGCCAGTAGCATTTGTAATCCGACCATTTGAAGCGAACAACTTGAAGTACATTTTTAATGAAATACTACAAAATTAAAATCATGTACAAAATCCATTAGCAGTCAGAGCAATATCTTGGCATGGTCGGCTTTATCATTTTTGACCTCGAACACTTTAACCGTTGTATCACTTGTATATAAAACTGATTAATAAGTGAGAAATAAACGAGTTATATGAGGAAAATTGCGTTGGAGGGGATTTTTTTAAGAAGACTATTATATTGGCACACTTGGTTTGAAGATGTTCGTCATTTAGTGTAGTTGTGTGTTTGGGTGACTGTGTCGAGAATTATAACCTGCTAACAATGTTATCGTGACATAACTCAATATGTTACTGTGCCTAAAAATCGGTAAGTACTTATTACCTTTATATCTGGATTTATTTAAGAGTTTTCTTTGATATGTAATAATACTAATTAATTGAAGATTTATTTACAAATTTATTTATTTATCAACTACTCACGCTACCACACTACGCTTACAGGTTACCTAATTACAAATATGAAAATAAGTATATGTATTAAAACTTACTCTTTAAGAAAAGCATAGAAACATTAAGGTAAACATTATTATATTGTTATTATGCTTTAAGAAATAATATCACATCACATCACATCAACAGCCTTTAATAGTCCACTGCTGGACATAAGCCTCTCCTTAGAAAGGAGGTTTTGGCCTACTATACCACCATGACCAGACGGGTTGGTATAGGGTTTGTTTCAAGTTTTCCTTAAATAATAATAATAATAAAATAATATATTTAAGACATAAACATAACATCGGATACAATTTATCATCGGCTTTGTATAAAAATGACAGATTCAAGTTTTTTCGTAAACTGGTTATGGAATTTGATAATTGGTTTTTTAAATTTTTGTATGTTATTATTTTTGGATATATGAAGGCAACGTGCGCATTTAGTTTTTTTTTTTTATGAAATACTGTGTCAGTCTGAAAAATGTCTTTTTAGAAAAAGTCTGGCTTAGATCCTCTTTATAGTTTGAATTATTATATTGGGGTCATTATGTTCTATAAACAAACAACATACAAACAAGTTATTATTAAAAAAGTGATATTCGTAACAGAGCTCAGAATCGTATTTATATTACCCTTCGTCGGAAGTCGGTTCTACAAATTACAGTTCAGTGATGAACGGTTCGTCGAAAACACCCTTCCTCAATAACATCCCTTTCTATACAAATCCAAAATTTCTTTATTTCATATATAGTTTCAAATTGTCTGAAATAGTCTTTTATGTATACTCTAAAGTCGTAGATACACAATAGCAACAATATCTGTTTTATCAAATAGTTAGGAAAACTAATTTAAAAAATTTACTTATACAAAATCTATGATATGCTTGATATCTATTATACCCGTCTGGCCAGCGTGGTATAGTACGCCAAAACCTCCTTTCTAAGGAGGGGCCTATGTCCAGCAGTGGACTTGTAAAGGCCTTTGATGATGATGATGATATGGTTGTGCCGATCTACAACCGCCCGATTTCAATCGGTTGGGCCCGGTTCAAGCGGTTATGAGAAGAAAGGGCAAACAAACTCATGGCCACTCTGCAATTTACAAATTAATAAAATAGCATCATTAAATATACCACAACATTGTTCTGATGTGTGCCAGTATGTCCGTTATTAAGGACTAAAAGGTAAAAGGACTATAAACAGAAAAATAAAAACACAAATCATGATATACAAAATTATAATAATTATAATAATAGGGTCATGACCATAGAACTCGTTATAATTATTACGTTTTTTTGAGGTCATGAATGTTATGTAGCTAGTATGTTGTGTATGTTATAGTATTGCATAAAGGAGACAGCAGGAGGTACTGCTATAAATAAAAATGCAACTATTTAATATTAAGAATGTTGGTGGAATAACCAAATTAAAAAAAATCTGCATAAAAAAAACCACATGTAATTAACATGAAAAATTATTAAATATGTGTGAAATGATTTTTGTTTGTTCCTAAAGTTTGACAGTAGTATTCTGTAACATCTTTAGACGGGGAAAATACCTCATTTTTACGAAAGCATCACGGATATAAATAAATTGCTTTTGCTTGCTGCTTCTAGTTTGAGTAGACCCTTTGAGTAAGTAGAAGCTGCGAAAGCATTTCTAAGAACATAATATATACTCACTCACACACAGGCTGACCATGAAATTGGGAAGATTACTTGACCTCTAAAGATAAAATTTGCCAAAGGATTTTGAAACATGAATTAAGGTGATAAACTTTTGGTTTCTTATAACAGAGGAAGTAGTTTATAGGAAGGACCCCTCAGATAGGAACAAGTTTTGAGACAGGATCCTGAACATATGAAATTTAGCAGAGAAGTCATTTATAGGTCCGAGTATGTGAGTCAGCCTAGGATTCTCAAATTGTAACATTTTTACCAACAACCTGAATTGTGTATTATATTTAAAAAATAAAAAAGTCTTTTTTTTAATTAGATAGCAGACCAGTTCAAAACTTTAAAGAGCTGTCCCACCCATTCAAAACCTTTGATATGTCGATTTGTAAATAGGTATCGTCACCATATTTAATCCACTTATCGTATTAATAAAAAAAGTTAAAGTTCATGATTACAAATAGTAATTCAATGTCTCAAAGTCAATATTTTGTCACGTTAATCAATAAACATTGGAGGATGAGGTAAACATTGCCTAGTTATTAAATTTATGAATAGTTTAGTATTGATGGAGAAACACACAGTTGTCTTAAATGCGAATTCAATACTTAAAATTAAAGTAAGCCGTTTATTACGGTCTATAATCATATTACGACTGCTTGTCATGGCAGGAAGAACTGGCTACTGAACAATTTATTTTACTTTTTGTATTTTTACTTTATCACTTTTGTATAATCTGTAATTTTGAGTATAGGTAATGTAACAGATATGATTTGTGAGTCCAGGTCTGATTGTCAAACTTCTTTGGTCTAGGATTCTTATTCCTATGTGTGACATCTGGTGGGAGGAAGGCCAAGTAATGGTAGTCTAGAGAAAGATGACATTACTGCACCCGTTCAGAAACGGGGATAAAATCTAGATAATATGTTAATTGTTTGTAAAAAGTACGATTCAGAAAATTACAGCACAAAATGGGATTTGTATTTTAATAATGATGAAATTTATATTCTCGTATTAACTAATCTGTTCCTTACGAGTTTTCCTCTTAGCAAATAATATAATACATACCAAACTTAGGACGTTTATATTTAATTATATATCAAAACACTCATTAATCATATCCTGTAATAATGAAATATAAATAATTAAAAATATTTTTTTATAAATAAACAAGCTACAGCGCAAACGAGTATACAGCATTTGTGATGTGTTAGGGCAAGTACATAGTTATACCTATTTATACCACTATTCAACTTATCAGGAAAATTATGAATCATCATCTATTTTTAATTTACTTACCTTGGAATTTACAAACGTAATGTAATTGTTATTGATTGATAAAACTATGTATAAAAAATTGGTTTCGAATAGTTTCAATGTAGGTACACAGACTAAATAATAAAAATAATTATTTAACGAGGAGGATACTACAATAATTATCACCACGTCTCCAAATATCTTTTCAAGGGCTAAAAGTAAGTTCAGAATGTAAAATATCAAGCATTACTTATTATTTGACACCGCATCTACTATCGCCAACTTAAAAAAACACGTGGGTATTTAAATTAAAACGTATTTGTCTTTTCAGTACATGCATTAGTATGAAAAGTAAATATTTTTATATTTCGACTAGTGACTGAATTTATCGAAGTAATTCGTATAGTATTCGTATTTCGCGTTCAATTCTACAAATATCTGTTTACACCCTAATTCGGCTTGACTTAGATTTTTGTTTTTGATTTGGTATGATCATAATCAAACAGCCTTTAATAGTCCACTGCTGAACATAGGTCACTCCTTAGAAAGGCGGTTCACTATACCACCCTGTTTAGATGGGTTGGTATAGAGTTTGTATCAAGTTTTCCTTCTCTTTGCAGTGCGGTTGTCCTACGTAATTTCCTCCCTTAGTAGGACAACCACGGGTTGAATAGGGATGGTCACACTCTGTATTCGTAATCCGTCACCACACCATCAATAATCAATTCTAATTAATAATTTATGTATATCATGATTCCGATGCAAATGATTAACTGGAAGTATTTTAAAATGTTTAGTTAATTACCATAAGAATTAATAGAAGTGCAATATCGATTGATAGTCAATTATTATTGTAGTCATTTAATAAGTGTTTACCGACCTTCGTTCATCGATCTAGTGAATAATTTGCGACTACAGTACGTGTAGGTATTATAAATATCAGTTAAGTTAAATTGAGAATGATCTCTGTAAATCTTTTCATTCTAACCGTTGTAAGGTTACTAAATTTATATATGTAAGAACTATTTGCAAAATCATATTTCAAATTCGAATTTGTAGACGAATTTTGTCTGTATAAGAAACGTTACGTGTGCTGTTGTTATTTCAAACAAAATAAAAAAATAAAATAACTAAATCTGAGCTGTTTCAAGACTTTAAATAAAAGCTGTATTTAAATGCGTTTTAATTAATTTACAATCACAAATCTTTATTTTTCAGCCATAGTCGCTCTTTTGAGCGGTATAGCTGTTGAAGGATATGGTCTAAGATACAGTCATAGGCGTCGAGGCTCTCATGATAGAAAGCATTTTCAGCTTGAAAGTCTCGGCCGCAATGGACCTCGTCGCGATTACGGCTCAAATGGCAAGCATGGGCATTTTCATTTTTATAGACATCCTTACTACAGACGAACTACATTTCTCGAAGAGTTAAGAAGACAATGGTCCTATTCTGAAGAATCAAGTGAATCGGACTCTGGATATAGCAGTGAGATTAATGAGTTTGATTCACCTGAAAATAGCGACTGGTATCTGCCGAAGCGTCATCCTAGTAGGCTCTGGAGGTAGACTTTGAGTTTCTTATACTGTCCCTAACATCTACTGAGCTTTTATTGAGTTATTTAAAACAATAGTAACATTATTCTCTCTCGACTGCACGGAGGGCGCTTCCTGCAACGCTGAGTGTTGTGGGTTCGATCCCCACATGGAACAACGCTTTGTGTGATTCACAAATTGTTGTTTTGAGTCTGGGTGTTTTTGTTGTGTCCGTTTCAACTATGTTTGTAAAGTCCCCACGACACAGGATAGATTCGTAATGCGGGAGTAGTCTTAAAAAAAAAACAAGGATTGATAGAAATAAAATCCAATTTAAAATATTGAATATGATTTAAATTATCTTGGATAAATGTTTAAAAAGAAGCAATGTTGGTACTAACTCGATATCTGAATGCCAAGTTCAACTGCAATTTCTCAAATGATAACTGGTCATGTAAATAATAAGCTAAAATGTAATGTCATTATTGTAATATATAAAATTTGTATAGCTAATCGTTTTCACACCTTATTGTAAATTATAGTTCAGGTAATTTATCCGCTGTTGTGCAGCAAAAGGAGCCTTCATTGATATAGAGGGAAACTGTGGCACATCACCTTTTACAAGCATTCGCGCCACAGTAGAGCGCCACAGTAGAGCGCCACAGTAGAGCGCCACAAGGTAAAAGAAAACAGCAATCCCCAATATACTAATGGACTGTGAGGAGGTTGCCGCATACTGAGCTAAGTACCTTGGCTAGTAAGGGTTGCTCTCTGAGATCGTTGGTAATGCAAAGGGGTTACCGAGATTCAGCTCGAATAGCTTATATTACCATATAAATGAACTGAATTTGTCTTTGTTAGTACTGAACTTTGCACCTTGTTCTTTTTTTTTTGGGAATCTTAAATTAGAATTAGCCGTAGGCTGTGATGGACCTTAGTACTTATCAAGTTGTTTAAATTTTTCAAGCCTTTTCATTATAATAAATGAATATTTTGTATATTTATTAAAATATATTTTACTAAAACGCGTCTACTTTATCACTGGTTGCCTGCTAGAGAAAGTCTTAGGCATGAAATTCGCTTATGTACGGCATGTTCATAAAGCGTAAATATATCAATATTTTTTTTACATGTTGCATGACGTATTCTCGTTTCTAACTGATATTTTGCTATCAAATTATTTTCAGATATCGTATTAGTACACAAGACAAAAATCAAGAACATCAAACTTCATGGACCAGGCCACCGTGTTCAAGAAAAACTACACAAGAGTTACCTATTACGCCTCACACTGAAAAATGGAATTCTATACATATGTTAGAGTCATCACCTCAGTCAGAAGCTGTTACCACTCCTATGTCAATTCCTGACGTTACTATGCCTTTTAAAACTGAATTTATTATGAGTAGATTAGCGCCGATCGAAGAAGTATCATTTTTTCTAACCACTGCTACTCCAGAAACAAGTCAGAATACAATGAGTTCTCCAGAAATAAGTCTGACTACAATGGATTCTCCAGAAATAAGTCCGACTACAATGAGTTCTCCAGAAACAACTACTGTTTCTCAAGCTGTTATAGACTGTATAGATAATTGTATATCAACACCTGAGTTTAACCCAGTATGTGGTACTAATGATGAGACCTATGACAATATCGGCAAGTTATTTTGCGCTAAAAGCTGTGGAATCGGTGAGTTTTTTATACTTTTCGGTAGAACTAACTATATTTCTTATGACGGCATTTCGTATTTGACATTTTTACTTTTCACTTTTTTTTCAGATGTTGAACTGAGACGAATGTCAAGATGTTGGCCCCTTTTACCATTTGCCGACGATTATGACGATGATGAAGACAATGATAATAGCACTGACAGGGACGTTGACAGACGCGGTAATATTGGCAATGAAGGCAGCGGTAATGATTATGGTGATGAAAGCGATAACAGGAGTGAGCGATTACCGCCATCAAGTGATGACCCTTCACCGCCACCGCACTTTGAGCAATCGCCACCCCATTTTAATATACCAATACCACTAAGAAATAATCCATCCTCATCACTAGACGATGAGCCATCGCCCTCACCGGGCGGTGAACCATTAAATTCTTTAAGCAGTGATTCATCTTTATCACTATTTAGTGATTTGTCACCGTCTCCGAGAGCAAAATCATTGTCATCAGACGATAAAATGTCGCCTCCTTTAGGTGGTAATAGCAATGTAGTTGTCACTACGGGCAGTGTCAATTTTGTATCTTCATCCACTACACCAAGTGCACCAAGATTCAGACGGACCACACACCTGTCGGATCTCCAGAAATGCATGAAACTTTGTCCCGTCACTACTGCTTACTACCCTATCTGCGGGACCGATCTTGTCACCTATATAAACAACGACCGTATAGAGTGTGCTAGACGTTGCGGACTAGGTGAATCTCATTCATATATCTTAGTTTAACAATATACCCGATAAGGGTAAATTAATAATTAAAATAATTAATTAGTATTACTAATGTTACTAACCTATACTCATTATAAAGAAAACTTACACTAAATACGATTTTACGCCTTAACCATACATCCCTTGATGACCATATTTACGTACAAGTTGTGAAGGGTATAGAAAAGAGCACACTTTTCATCTAGAAAACGTATGCGAGAGAAGTCGCGAAGGCCAAATCTAGTGAAAAATAAATATCACTAGAAAACTGATTTCTCTTTTCAAATATACTGATTCTATAATACACTAGCTGACCCGCGCAACTTCGTCTGCGTCTCTCAATAGTAATAAATTTTCTCCGTTTTTGAAACATTCTTCATTGGTGCTCCGCTCCTATTGGTCTTAGCGTGATGATATATAGCCTATAGCCTTCCTCGATAAATGGGCTATCTAACACTGAAAGAATTTTTCAATTCGGACCAGTAGTTCCTGAGATTAGCGCGATCAAAAAAACAAACAAACAAACTCTTCAGCTCTATAATATTAGTATAGATTATTTAGGCCCACTTAAGCCTGACGTATCTGTATTTATTAACAGAGGTTCAAATTTTATGCGAGCAACCCTGTCATCTGTGTAATGTGGGAAGACAAACACTGGCATCTTCAACGATGACATCATTGCTAACTACAACGCCACCAACAACGCCATTAACAGTACATGCTGCAACCACTAGAAGAAATATTGTCAATGCTGCCCCAATGACATTAATAGAACAGTGTGTTAAGTCATGTCCGGTCACACCAGAGTACAACCCTGTTTGTGGAACAAACAACGTCAATTACATGAATCCTGTACACCTACTTTGTGTGCAAATGTGTGGAGATGGTAATAACTTAATTTGTGTGCATGATTTTGAAACATTAACAAGTTTAAATGTAGTATTATTTCAATGCCTCGTTCTATTATTTAGGCTCTATACGGCAATTTTCATCTCCTCGGTGAAGTTGTCAATTGTAATGGGTTAGCTATGTGTGAAGATTTCTTTTGTTTCCTAAACAATCTAATGCAGTCAGCTGTGTGATGTGATTGTGAGTGACATTAATAATACTCGTAGGTCTTTACCTATGAAATTGCCGTTTTGTATGCAATAAGTGAAGGTACTTATTTTTTCAAACTTTTTTATTTCTGTTATTCGAAGTAATCACCCATGCAATCGATGCAGATGTGACCACCAGACCTTGCATACCGACTATTACTTTTTCCAAAATTTATACAACTTTTTAGTGGGTAAAAAATTAAATTCCCGAGAGGCAGTACATAATACCTTTGAAGAGTTTGTTGCCTCCCGTCCAGCTGATTTTTACAAGAAGGGCATCAATAAACTGCCAATGCGTTGGCAAAGATGCGTCGATGATTGCATGGGTGATTACTTCAAATAACAGAAATAAAAAAGTTTGGAAAAATAAGAACTTTCCCTTATTGCATACAAAACGGCAATTTCATAGGTAAAGACCTAATAGTTAAACAAATTTCAGATGTAAAAATTGCAAGGTTTGGACCATGCCCTTCTGAAAATCGTATGGAAACTCCAACTGTCACCACTGAACAAGACGTGGAAGAGGTAACCTTATCACAGGAGGTAATAGAATGTACTAAACGTTGTATCTCGACATCCGAATATAATCCTGTTTGTGGAACAAATGAAGAGACCTATACTAATCCTGGAAAACTAGAATGTGCTAAATTTTGCGGAATTGGTATGTATATTGTGTATTGCATGTATATATTTTGACACTTTTATTAATTCAAAGGCTATTAAGTTATACATGTTTTAAATGTAATCTATTTCATTTTCAAAGTAGTCAATAAGTTTTAGCTTTGACTAGTTTCACAAAATGAAAGTAAATATATTTATAATAATTTTTACTTTTCAGACGTGAAACTGAGTTACAAGGGATTCTGCAACGGATTCTTCTTTTCGGATTTCACATTTGCTAATCCAGCGGGCGAGAGAGCAATGGGGGGCCAAGCAACGGCATTTCGGGAAATTCTACAACCTACATCCCTATCAACAGGGCTCCCTTTGAGAACATCAACATTAACTTCATTTGAAACTATACCAACAACAACGCCAAATCAGTCAACTAAATCGACAACTCCTTGGTTTTTGCCACTTGTATATTCGCCACCACCCTCGTCAACGTTTGCGAATACCCCTTCAACCACAGCTTCGACTCCAATCACTACAACAAGTGAATCTCTTAACTCAACAAGCTTAACCTTAGCACCAGATGTGCTGATCTCTATTTTTGGAAATGCGTCTCTAAAAACCACTATAGATATTACTACGAAAGAAAACAAGGTTAGAATAGATCCTAGATTCGGAAATGAAGATGACAATGGTGCGAGTCAAAAGGGAAACTTGGATCCCAATAGAATTGTGTTTCCAGAATAGATAAATTTTATCACTAGAAATGTACTTGTAGATAAATAAAGACTAATTAGATAATATAACGAGGTAATTTTATTACGAGTAGAAACAATTATGCACCTCACTATAATTATTTCTGGGATATCATTAAGGTAAGCGGTAAAATTAGGAGTTTACGCAATTTTGCTACTAGTATAAAACTGATGCAATGTGCCGATCTTCCACTAGTATGTATTTGACAGGGACAAACAGAAGTGAAATATAACTAACTACTTAAAGAAAAAATGAAAACTAAAATTGTGATTTTTATTAGTGCGCTTCTATCAGTGTTTAGATTTTCATGGACCTATTCAAGTAAGTATGTAACTAGAAATGAAAGTGTTAGTGTAAAAGGTATTATTATTTACTATAAAGTGCAGACAGACCTACTAACATTTATTTTCTTCAAAATATAACAAACACTTATTCAAACTTAACATCAGTGAATTTAAAATCAAACATTTTTAAGAAATATAAGTATAAGTATTTATGTGTTAAACGAAAACTCGACTTTTTGACTGCTGGAAGTGTGTGTGCGTTATAAGTGTAAAACAAATATTGGACAAGGATCTTGTATTCCTTCCTATTATGTACTTATATTAAAGATATAATCGATGATGATATGTACCTCCATTCTTGTACAAAACAAAATTTGTTTTGTACTATTGCAGATTCTAAATCACTAAGTTTTACAATATCTTAAAAATTGATTATCTTATTTTAATTTTTTTTTTATGACAAGGAAAAAACTTTAATGATATAAACTGAATCCTTTTTGCCGAATAGGCAAATGTTACTTAATACTATTCCGATTCAAGAATTAATGGCCTAGGTCATGAAAGGCCTTTACCATTCGTGACCTTTTTTTTTTTTTTTTTCCGTTCGGAAATCCCCTCGGATACCATGTCGGTGGCATGTCGGACTTGAACCGACTAAAACCGCACGCCTTCGCCGGGTACTAATAGCCGGGGAACCAGGTATACCCTAGAAAGGAAGGCCCTGGTGCCCCGACATACCTCGGGTCATCTACAGACGTGTAGACGACCCCCGCCCCGTGTGGGAACCCCATGTTCCCTGTGCTCCCTGGAAGCGAGCGCGCTTCGCAACTCGCTCGCCGCCACCCCGGCCTGCTTCTGCTAGGGTGACAGATGGCCTCACCTGTCACCCCCAGGCCTGCGCTTATGGAGGACGGAGGTCGTTCTGCGACCTCCGGCGCCTGAGTCGCCTGCGCTGCCTGGCCCGTGCCCGGGCCTGGCGGGCCGGGAGAGTTCTAAACCTCTCCCGGTCCCGCTCCGCCGTCACCATTCGCCGTGACCTAGATTTTATGTAAAAAAGTTTTTCCCTCTTAGAAATAACAACATAATTTCGATATATTTTGTTATATCTTTTCTAAAGTTAAAAATAAATCTATCCACAGTTCCATTTAAAAGACCATGCGAGGACATGTCGCCAGAATGTTTGAAGAATTCTCTTCAAGCAGCTTTACCACTTTTTGCCAACGGTGATCAAGATTTGGGTTTGGAAGCTTTAGATCCTTATATACTTGAAGAATTAAATCTCACGCTCTCTGGAATTACAATTCATTTTAGCAAAGGCTATGCAAAGGGTCTGAAGTCATGCATCGTTGATTTCGCAAGGTAACACTTACAATTAATTTATTAATTACTAGTTTTGTTCAACGTTTTTTGTGGCTGTGTGTGTAAATTGTCGTTTTCTGCCCAGGAATGTTGTTTTAAATAATTTCTACAATCCACGTAGTCATATTATTGTTTAACTAAATTTAAATGTGTCTTGTTTCTAAAATTAATAATTAATTAACTAATTTCTATAATTATTAATTAATTTAATTCAGCTAAAGACATACATTAAAAGGGCGCATGCCGTCAGCTGTCTAAGTGTGCTTTGACTTAATAGATTTCGTAAAAACAACTCTCTTGCCTTAGATTTTGTAGATATTGATACCCTATTGTACGCTTCATACGAGATGTTTGTACTTTCGTGAGAGTTTTAATACAACATTTGTAACACAGGTAATTGTGCAATAAAATCAATGACAATATCTATTAATACATGATTACAAATTAATTTCACATTGTTTGTAATCTCTATAATATTCGTAACGACTACTAATTGTCATTTTTATGGTATAGGAACCCTAACGAGCCGACGGGTCATCTGAAGGCCAAGTGTGAGTTTATTTCACTTCAACTCGCTCTCGACAGCCAGCGCGTTCGGCGTTGCGATTAGTGGAGATTTCAGTGTGGGCCAATAGTAGTGAAAATGCGGTGACCGTGACGATCGAGTAGAAGTGAAATAAACTCGCACTTGGTCCTCTGATAGTAAGTGGCTATCGCCGCCCATGGATGCTTGCAACTCAAAAGTCAGAGGTGTGTTGCCACCCTTTCAGTCACTCCCCCCCCAATCAGGGGAGGGCAAGGGTTTGGGTCCCTAAACCACACTCACTCGGTGAAAAGCACCGAAAGAACTGATTAACAGTGGTTTCCTGTGATGCCGTGGTGTCACCCTGGTCGCACCGGACCGATTGTGCCGAAGCTTGACTCTCACACGAATAATTTTGCATTCTTAGTGCATCATTTGATCATATTGTGACATCAGAATTAATGCTTCGCAGGTACGTAGATAACACTTTGGAGACACAAGTTCATTGTAATCTAACGATTCTGGGGAATTACCGATCATCCGGTTCATTACTTGTCTTCCCAATAAACGGTGAAGGAACATCATCTATTGAGTGGTTTTTATCATTATTCTTATTATGAGACGTGTTCTGTACATATTTAAAGGTTTTTAATGTCTTTTATTAACGTACACATATTATAATTAGTATTAGACAATATAATAGCAATGATCTCAGATTCTAAGGTTTTGTAGCTAAGAGTTTATTTTTTTTTACTTATTTATTTATACATCTTTATTGCATGCCGCTGCAGTATATATTTTGTACTGACATGGATGGATATCTACATTTATTGCAGAGTTTATAATAAAAATAAAAAGCACAATTAATTTAGGTACAATATTCAAATATACGCAAGAAGTTACGTATCGTTCTTTGATGTTAAACCTGTTTTGTTATTAGATAATTTGAAGATACACAGTATCCTTAAATTTGGATCAAAAGTGATAAACGGCCGAACATACTTGGATGTCAAGAGTGGCGTTGTAAAACATGCTTACGACGGTAGAGTTACCTATGCGATGACTAATCTTTTTAAGGGAAGTCCCGAAATGAGTAAGTTAGTTTTTGTTTACCTAAAAACATTACATAAAATGGTTTCTTTGCATCTCCATTAAATTTATTAAACTGATTTTAAATAGCAGTTTTTGTAGGTTTCTGATTATAATAGGCGCTAATGATAATGTATATTTCAATTGTATAATTACTTGGCTATCTAAAGATTTCAACATGAGCACTGTCTTTTATACACACAGAGATTTAAATTATTAAGCTCAGCGCAGCTCTCCATAAAGAAGCGTGACGTGTAGGAAAATGAGATTTTAAAAGATATAAAACAGTCTTTGTTTATCCCATATTAAAATTTTGGAATTTATAAATGCACACAACATTATTTAAAATACTGTATTTACTTATTTTATTAACTACTAGATTTTTCACGCAGTTCTGCCATAGCTTATGGTCAGTGCTTTAGTCCTAAGGTTCGTAGCGTGAGTGTCTATACACTCACGCTACGAACCTATAGAATAACCTTCCTCAATGCATACTCTATCCAAGACGAGGATATTTTTATGAATTCAACTTATAGTTACAGAGATTAGCGTGTATATTTATACATTCATACTTATGATCATATTTAATTACTGATATTATTAAAATATCGATTGATATTTCGATCTTTGTAGGTTTAGTCAGTATGTATGTATGTTATTGTATAATTTATATTATGCTTATTTTGGGTTGCTTTGGAATGGAAAATTGTTTTCGAAGATTTTTGTATACGTATCGTAGCATTATCTGAATGGTCTTGTAACGACAATAGTGTCACGGTCATTTATTTAAAGTTCAATCGGAATTATAATGTAAGACATGATAATACAAGTACTATTTCCTTGTTAGATTATCGACCTCGGGTTGAGGATATTCATTAGTTATGTTATTACATTGTTCTCTTTATATATCAAACCTGGTGAGTTTTAAATTAAAACAATAATTTACTTTTTGTTACAATTTTTAAAGATAATTCAGAAGTCAATCTTTGAGTTTTTCGTTTCTTATAACACGATTTTCCTGAGGAAGGTTCGTAGAAATTTGCATAAATGTTTTTGTCATTTGCCGAGCATCCGAGCATGCAGGATATCATGACGCAAGGATAAATCATGAACACAAAATCAATCTGCTTTTTTCCAATAGAAATGAAAAAATAATTTGAATGAGACATTCCGTGTTACTTATAGATACTAAAAGTAAAAAACAGTTAAGGGTATTCCCATTTAACACTTAACCACGTATTTTTAGGTCAAGCTGTCTTGGATTTCATGAATAGTAACTGGAAGTTGGTAGCCGAAGAATTTGGAACACCTTTAGTGGAGTACGGTGTAAAATCTATCATGAAAAATGTGCGACGGTTCCTTGAAGTGATATCATTAGAAGAATTAAAACAATTGTGAAAACAATGTGGTGTTTATTTTGTACTTATTACACTACACTACATAATTTTAAATATAAATGATGGGAAATAATTGTTTCATAAACACAATACGTTAATAAGTAAAATACAGTTCTCTCCCATGTGACAGTTCTTCTGAACGGTAACTTAGTATTAGAACACAGATTATATAAGACCTAAATAAACAATGCATATCCTCCAATATCAATCAATATATTCTTACATTATACTACCTATTACACTGTATTCAATCCTCAAGTTATTGGGTTGGAGACAAAATGCCTGGAGCCTATTCAGGGTCTGACTTACCCATAGGCTAAAAAACCCGTGCTCTTGCCTTTATAAACACAAGGGAGCAAGGTTCAAGGGGACATAGAACTCCAGTCTTTGAAAGCACTCCTTCTCTAAAACAGTGAAACCCTTTTCATTTAACCAGTTTCTCAAATAGGCAAGTTAACGTGATTTTTGAATTATTCATATAGGGTCCCACTATGGGGGTTGAAATGTGCCATTTTTTCATATAAAGAAGTGGAAATATTAATACATATTACTACATTTTATCTCTCTAGGCCAAAATGCAACCAAAAAATACCAAAAAACCAAACGCATATTTTTTAAATTTTGGTGCCGAGAAATGCGTATACTATACATGGTGATCTCATCATTAGCACCTAGTGAACTTGTGTGTGTGTGTGTGTGTGTGTATGTCTAAATGAGCATACGATGTTATTTACAGATTCAAGTTTGGCTGGGAAATAAACATATGAAGCCAACTGATTGGGATTGGACAAAAACTGAAGAGTCCTTAAAACCATACAACCATAAAACAATAATCGAGCACCACAAGAACTTTTACAAATGATATTCTGCAATTGCAAAAAGGGTTGTGGTACATCTAGTAGCTGTGGAAAACTTGGACTTTTTTGTAACCTTAAATCAAAAGCTATGTACATTGTTTTATTCGTCGTTTATCCTAAATTTATGAATTGATCAATTTTGTCATTTAAGGGCAGTTTTTACCACTCTTGGCCCGCTTTACATGAAGACACTGGAGCTTGATCTGTGGGGACTCCTCTACCTTATGGTTAGGGTCACGATGCGCCCATGGGCCTCGCGCTGACCCGGTGTCTTCAGCCAGAACCGCTTGAAGGGGTTGTTGGCTCCCTGTTCCTATCGCAAGTGGTGGAACACATGTCACCACAGATGGCTCCGCCTCCGTCGCTCGAGGCGCCTAACGTGGAAGACGACGACGTGCCTGAGGTCACTTGAGCAGAACTAAGGGTGGTGGTGGTGGTACGGCTTAAAGCTAAGAACACCGCCCCAGGACCTTATGTCCTGGCCTTAGATGACGAAGCTCTCGAGCCCCGACTGAGAGGCGCCTCAGAATTTCGAAAATGCCTGGAGCGCGGCAGTTTCCGAAATTCTGAGGTGCCTCGTCAAGCATCTCGTCATAGTGGGGCCTGATATGGCGGAAAACCAGTACGGTTTCCGTCAGTGGCGCTCCACCGTTGATGCGATCATGCGCGTGAGGGCTCTGGCGAAGGAAGCAGTTGCCCGGGGTGAAGTGATGTTGACGGTGTCCTTGGACATCGCCAATGCGTTTAACACTTTGCCCTGGAACATCGGCTACGACTGGGTGGTGGTGCCAGTGTTGCCCAAGTCATGGAGCGGATCCGGCGGCTGGGTCTCGAGGTGACTCTGCACAAATCCGAGGCTTTGTTTTTTCACGGTCTTCGGAGGAAGCCACCTGAGGGATCCAGTCTTATAGTAGGAGGCATCGAGCCCTCGATGAGGTATCCGGGGCTCGTACTTGATGGTCGACGGGACTTTGAATATCATTTCCGAGGTCTTGTCCCCAAGTTGGTTAGAACAGCGTAAGCATTGGGGCTGCTGCTTAACATGAGGGGACCCGATGACTCCTGCAAGAGACTCTACTCGAGGGTTGTGCGGTCGATGGCTATTTATGGGGCTCCAGTATGGTCAGAGGCCCTGGAGGCCAGCAAGTATAGCGACGACCGCAGCCAGTGCTCGCCATCATTGTCATAAGGGGGTACCGCACGTATGCGCGATCAATATTTTTTTTATATTTTTTATATTGCTACTACGAGTATAAATAAAAAGTTTTCATGTCATCGCATGTGAAGTTACGAAATTAAGGCTTCAGTTGAGAAATTCTGGTCAGGAGAATAAAAAAATGCGACAAAATTGAATTGGTAGATTAAGAACTACTCTTCTTCTTGGGTTTGCGTGTTTATTGATAAGTTAGCATAATGTTTAATCGCTATATTTTTTCTAAAACTATGTGCCTCAGATTAATCAAAAAAGGCATTAACGAGAGATATCTCGTTAACGCCTTTTTTGTTTAATCTGAGGAAAACTTTAGTGCATACGCATACGTCTACGCATACGTCTGGTCTGGTCAGGTCTTAAAATTTTGAGTTATCCCTCAACTCGACACACTGTCAGGCCATAATAATCGGCAGTGAACGTTCGATAAACGGAGTCAATCTCGAGACGCTTAATAAAATAAATTTGAACGGTACCTCTATACCTGTTTGTCGGACGGTGAAAGACCTAGGCTTACAACTCAAGTTAGATACTTATATATATGCCAGAGGGTTACCGGCATCCTCAGAACGCTATATCGTTTAAAAAAATGCCCCCCCCCCCTCCCCGTGAAAACTAAGAAAAAACTTGTGCAGTTTCTTGTCTTCCCTTTAATCGACTATGGTGACGTACGCTATTATAACCTGAATGCAGATCTTCTCAACAAGTTAGATCGTCTTCTCAACAACTGCATTCGATTTATCTTTAAATTTCGTAAGTATGACCATGTCTTCAGTTTTCGTTATTCAGTATTCAGCTCAGATGGTTACCAAATAGTCAACGCAGAAAAATGCGCGCACTAACAACCCTGTATACTATCCTCGATGGCCTATCCCCGCCTACTTACTTAACACCACAATTTCAACTCTTATGTAATACCCACAACAGAAACCTTCGTTCTTATAACAACTTCCTTCTAATTTGTCCTTCTTACACTACTGGGTTTGTCGAGGTCAAGATTGCGACATATCATTACTCTTATAAGATGAAAGTAAAGGATCTTTTACTGGGCGAGTTGTGGGAGTCAACAGGCTTCTAGTTCATCATCAACAATTGTTTTATTTTATTGTAATATATATATATATATATATATATATTATATTAATAAGAAGTCCAGTTTTGCGATAGCAGTACGAACATTAATAGTAACTGTATCTCCCAAAAACGGTAACGGTAACGGTAAACGGTGTCAAAGCACGTAATGAACCAAGTATTTTCATTTTCCACTTAGTTGGTCGTATTTCAGCATTTACCGTCTGGAATGCTGATATTGCAAAGTAATTTAGTATAAAATGAAGATTCCATACTATATTCACGATGCTGCCAATATTTTTCATACAATTAGCTTGTATTGTTTCTTCACTTCTACTGCTCTTGTCATATTTGTTATTTCCTCAATTTATTTCTTGCTTTAATTAGTCGTCGTGAATTCGTGAATCGTGAATTAGTATTAATTTAACTCGCCAGTCTTTTGTAAGGCAATAAGATTGTGTTCATTAATTAATAATAAGTTTTTTAGAAAATTAAGTATTTATAGAATGATAATATAATAATGAAGTAACAGGGCAAAACAAGCACGTAATTTAGATAGCTAAGTGAAATATTGTGTAACTTTAATAGTTACTACGTCATCGGTAATGCGAGTGTTTATGAGAGACTAGCTGACCCGCGCAACTTCGTCTGCGTCTCTCAATAGTAATAAATTTTCTCAGTTTTTGAAACATTCTTCATTGGTGCTCCGCTCCTATTGGTCTTAGCGTGATGATATATAGCCTATAGCCTTCCTCGATAAATGGGCTATCTAACACTGAAAGAATTTTTGAAATCGGACCAGTAGTTCCTGAGATTAGCGCGTTCAAACAAACAAACAAACAAACTCTTCAGCTTTATAATATTAGTATAGATAAACATTCACGATTGAAGTACTTGTGGGTAATTCCACAAATAGTAACCTTCAACTACTTCAAAAACATATAACGCTTATGAGAAACAGAACTTTTAAATAACTATTAATTCTGGGTCGTTCTAGGAAGTTCTCGCATCGTGCAGTTTACCTTATCAGGGCATAAATACCGTTACCATTAACAAAAAAGAAATTTATTATTTTTGAATTTTTGCAGGTGATCAGATTTGGATAGATCACATATCACTGATGAAGATGATGAACGAGATAACGAGATAGTTCAACGATTTAGATTGGGTCCAACAACATCAATCAGAACTTTAACAGTGGAAAGTGTACAATGATTGAATATTGCGTCCCTATACCTATATCACTATTCGCCGATACAAGTTATTGAAGAAGGAGTTAATTTGAAGAAGTTGGATTTCTGCAGATTTATGCTTAATGCACATTTAGAAGATCCGTTAATTTCTTTCTGAGATATATTTCATGGACAGACGAGTCCAAATTTGTCAATTGGTATAACCAATCCCCACAGCGTTAATTATTGGGCGCCAAAAGCACTGATAAATCTTTATAATAAGCGGATAAAGGGGCCACAAAGATGCTTCAGTTTTGAATAGATTGATGGGTATAGTTAAACCACTTGATTGGATCTTTTTCCTCCCCGAGAACAGTACGAAAACTTTTTAGGTACCAAATTTAACTTACTTACTTGATGATTTACCACTTAATGTCATTCGGGGCATGTAGTCTTAGCATGATGGTAGTAGGTAGTTTGGGATATGGAAATAAGACAACTGAAATTATAATTACATACATATTTATTGTAGTACTCAATCGCTACACAATACAACTGAAATGATTCTTTAAAAAAGAAAGCGCTCCATATTTTTAATACAAATTACACCCACTAAACCTTAAGCAATCATTAACATATATTTTAAAAGACACAGATGAGACAAGAACAAGAACTCTCAAGAAATATTCTC